GTATATATATATATATATCTTATACTTTATATAGAGGTCTGTGTTGTCTTTATATACTGTAGTTTACCAGTCTTTACATAAACATTTGACAGAGCAGTATTCTTTATTTAAATTATATTGTTGTAATATTTATATTTCCCATGTTTGTTTATATAAAACTTCTTTAGTTTTTTACTTTTTATAAAATGAGTCCATTGTGTTTACTTTTTGATCTAATCATACTTTCAAGGTTTTGGCTTTTGCTTAACAAATGTGTCATCTCCGTTTTATTGGTTCAGTTATTTTATACTTTTGTGGTAAATATATAGTATGAAGGAAGGTAACAATTATTTTCAAACATAAAATTGTTAATGTATTTGGGGACTAACTAAAATTTTTTAAATAATGGCTAGCAAATACTTTTCATTAATTCCAAGTGATTTTTTCTTGACTTCTGACAGAAAATTTACTTGATTTAAAATAACTGATAAACTCTCTCTATTATATCTACATAAATCTTTTTTGGTTATTAAAAAGCACTTTGCTTTACTGACACAATTTTAAATTATGACTAAAACTAAATAAACATGTAAATATTTCTTCAACAATGTGAAATTAAAGTTAGAAGTTTGTATGCAATATGTCAGCAATAGTGAAGTGAAGAAAACAATTTTTTTTGTATCGTATTTGATAGTTAAAACTAGTGAATGGTCTAAGCTGTTTGAAGAAGTTGTTGAGCTTGAACATTTCATGATGCACCTGCCACAGGTTAGCAGTAATTTTTGTATTGAATTTTAAATTATAAAATTGCATGTATGTTGTGTATTTTATCAACAACTACAACTCTATGCAGTGTTTCATTACATGATTTTTACAGTGCAGTGAAACACATGCAATGTGTTACTTAACCAGTGTGAGATTTTCTAGATTAGTTGTTAAACCTTTCATTCAAACTATTCAATATTTAGTGCTTTAAACTAATAACTGATAGGTTGCAGGGTTAAAGCTCGCATATGCATAGCCATTGCATCCTTGAATAAAACACTTCACCAGAAATATGCTTTATTGTACCCAACTGTAAAATGGGTACCATGTTATAGTTGGGTATTCACCGGCAATGGATTAGTATCTCCTCCAGGGGATGTGGTTTGCGTGTGTGTGTGTAAAAACATTCTCATTGACTTGTGCCACAAAACAATGTTAAGCTCCTATATGCATTTAAGAACAGTAAAGATTTAACTTGTCCAAAATTGTCCTACTACAACTACTATCAATAAGCAGCATATGCTTAGTTTAAAGGAATGGTGAATAAAGGTGTGATTTGGGACTGCACGCTAAGTGCCTCATGTTTAAAACTTAACACTGCATGTTACATTTATTAAATGTTTGCTTTATTATACTTGTGTTGATTTCTAGATCAAGCACGTATCTGCTGTTAATGAAACTACTTCGTTAATATAAAATGCAAAACTAGTTAAAGTTTTGAATTGTTACTAATATATATTATTTGTAGTGATGTGAAGTATCAAAAAGTGCTGATATGTGTATATATATATTTATATATCAGTGTGTGTGTGTATGTGAGAGATAAACTTAATAAATAGAGCAGTAATAACACATCAGCATATTAGTGCACAAATGAGCAAGAATTAACCAAAAATAAAAAAAAAATATTAGTTTTGACATGCCAATGACATTCTCAAGGGACAGAGTAACATTGTTCTTAGTGTCATGTATCTTAAGGTTCAAAAAAGTCCGATGGCACAGCGGCATGTCTGCATGCTTACAATGCCAGAAACTGGGTTTTGATACTCGTGGTGGGCATAGCACAGATAGCCAATTATATAGCTTTGTGCTTAATTACAAACAAACTAACTAATGAAACAGTCCAGAAGGGTCAACATTCTGTAATGGTAGAGAGTGCAAAATCTAATTTGAAAAAAAATCTACTTCCAAGTATGGTTGAGTTGAAATCCCATTTTGTTATTGTCAATATTTAAATATTTCTTGGACTGGTGAAACAAGTCAGTTTTGTTATGTTTTGTAGATTCTTTAATTATTTGTGTATTAGTTTTAAGATCTTTTATTACTGTTTTTTATATGAGGTTGCAAAAAATACTTCTTTTTTCTTGAAACAAAACAAAATATTATATCTCTTAACCACAAAAGTACGTATCCAGCAAACAGTGCAGTAAAGTTTCTTATACTTTTTAAAATTCATCTTTAAAAATAGTTATTTATTAAATTTGTTTGGTAAATATTGTATTTGTGGATACTTTTACTTAAGTGATTGAATGTGGAACTCAACATTTTGAGAACCACATTATACACCAACATTACAAAAACTACATATCTAAAATATACTGTTAAGTGAGGAGGTCATGCAAGTTTTATCACTTGTCATTTGAATTACCATAGATGAATTAGATTGTTCAAAGGCATCACTATGTGCTTAAAAGATTTGTGGTTCAGGCCCATAGGTGCCAGAATGTTTGGAGTTTCAGTATAATATCAATCTGGTTTTCTGATTGCTCTGAATGGAAATGTATTGAAAAAACTAGAACAAAATATAGTTTTTGACATGCCAGTGACATTCTCAAGGGACAGAGTAACATTGTTCTTAGTGTCATGTATGTTAAGGTTCAAAACAGTCCGATGGCACAATGGCATGTCTGCATACTTTTATTAGGTGTACAGCATAACTAAAATATTCTATAAATTTATGTCAAAAATATACTGGTGTCTTTTTTATCACAAAATCAAGACTTTGCCTACCATGATGTGTAGCAAACACATCAAGTTTTATGGACAGTAACTGTGTAAACCTATTTGCCTGTTTTTTGCATTGTCCTAAAATCATATATGTTTTAATTTCTGTATCATAATATATTTGTACTTAAAAAGCATGATATTAAGCAAATTGAATAAATTTACTAATTATAAATTTTTTGTTAACTATGTGACAAGAAAGCTCATTATTTTGATATTCATTAAGTACAAGCAGGTGTATTTTAGGTAATTATAATAAAAAAGTTGCACATCTTATGAATTTTATAAACTACAAAAATAATATATTGTACATTTATTATAATTAGTATTATGAATTTGTCAATTTTTTTTTCCACAGAAACCTAATATTGTGGTTCATGTCACTTCTCACCAGAGGGCTTTCTTCCAACAACAGATTGGAGTCTTGTGGTCTATGCTGTCCTCTTATCCATGTGCATCTCACCAGGTACATTATAAAGGAACGTGAACTTCATTATTTTTATGTGTTTGTACTTTATTATTATTATCATACTTCTCAAATAAATTTGCCATTCCACTTGCAAGCTTCCTTTTTTTGGGGGGGGGCATACATGTTTTTAAAATTTAGTGGTTTCTATAGTGCTTTAGTTTCTTTGGTCATTCGTAAGAGTGAACAGTTTTATAAAATTATACAAAGTCCTCTTCTTTGGCATTTTGTTTGTAATTTCTGCACAAATGTTTAACCATTTAATAGATACTAAAAAAGACAAGCATCCTTTACAAGTAAATAATTGTAACAGTCACCTATTCAGAATTGAAAAGTTTTTAAATTTTGAACACCATTTATATGTGTGGAAATGTTATAGAAAATTCTGAAAGATTTCTAAAAGTTAGTTAAAATGCTAACCTAAAAATTTTTTCAAAAGTTACTTTCCCAGTTAAATCACACTACCAACAGATCAATTAAAATATGGTGATCATGTTATTGCACCTGAGCAGCACATTAGACGATAATGTGCATTTGCACACACAGTAAAACAGTCCATTTGACTGATAATTGATGTTTTCAAACCGTTCACTTATCTTTAAACTTTATTCATTGTAAATTTGGCTATAAGGTAATAGAAATACTGATATTTGTATTAAGAGGTTACAATTTTGCATGTTATACTCTGTAGGGCTTTTAGGTACATATGCATAGGCTAGATCTTAAATTTTTCCTATGAATCAGACACATGATTAATGCTAGAATCTAACAAGTCTAATGCTAGTATCTAGGCCTAATGTGTTATCTTGATCTAGTCTCTACATTATAACACAGTAAAATTAGGTAATTTGATAAGACTATAGGCACCTAATTAAGTCTGCACAGATAGGTAAAGGCCTAACATTTAGTGCTAATGGCCTAATCAGATAACTATAGGTCTAGGCCTAATTGTTTGTGTGTATGTGTGGTATATAAGCAGATTGAGTTATATACATAACAGTTAGATCTAATAAATCTAGAGGTCTATTAGTCCCATTCATTTTCAAGGAAATCAGCCAATTTTCCTGTAGGCTATCTTCTGTCTATAGGCATATATCTAAATAACAAACATAAAAACAAATTTTACTTTTCTCTTCTCTCATTTATATTTGCAGGATTCAGGTATGGCTCTAATAATAAATCTAGCTTTTTCATTAAAATCTTCATCTATTGCTGCTTGTATTTGCATATTAGTGTTTATTAGCCCTAGACCTAGGTCTAATTTGTACTGATATTAAATCTCATTATACTTCCATATGCTTATGTCAGTTATGGAAAGAAAGCAATAAATCTGCGTCCAACATTTATTGATGTAATACAATGTTATAAGTCACACCAATAAACTTTTAATTTAATCTTATATTAAGTCTACAGCATAACTAAAATCTTCTATAAATTTATGTCAAAAATATACTGGTGTCTCTTTTTATCACAAAAGCAAGGTTTTGCCTACCATGACGTGTAGCAAACACATCAAGTTTTATTGACAGTAACTGTGTAAATCTATTTGCCTGTTTTTTTGCATTGCTATATTAAGACCTACAATTAGTAAAAAATTTCCAAAATAATGCAAAGCCTAACAATGTACTGGACATCCACCACTGCCAAACCAAACCTGGGCCATCATGTATGGCATCAGTCTAAAGTCGTTTTATTCAAACTAGGCTTAGATCTATTTCTTTGTAGCAAGGAATGTTTTATGAAGTTCCAAGAATTCTGTTAAAACAGGCTTCACATACTGAAGAAATAATAATAAAATGATATGATGCATACTAATATGTGCATTCTATAATAAGAATAAGGATTCTTAATTAATAAATAACAATAATTGTTAAAATAAATCTCAATAAAAATTCTATGATAAATATTATGTAATATATTCTACAAATATTAGAAAATTAGCAGCATTATCTAATAATTTAATACATTTGAGTATTGAATAGGTTGTTAAAAGACTACTATAAAATAGTTAAATGAACATTGTTTCTATTGTGAATTTAATTTTAATTTCCATCCCCCTTCATATTTGGAAATTTCCAGGCCAGTGTAGTATTGAAACAAGCCAGTTTTCAAATCAAAACTACCAGGAATGGTTAGAAAATAATTCACACCCTAGCTGTATACCTTACAAAAATTCATTTGACATCAACCACATGGGAGAAACAGCTTTGTGCAGTCATGTGACAAGCAAGTAACATGCAGGAAATATGAAGACATTAAAGGTGATATCAAGCAACAATACTACCATCTGTACCTTCTTAAAACCACCTGAATTGAAACCATCTATCTTAAAACCAAACTACCACCATGACTGCTACCAGTACAACTTCTTGCATCCAGTCTGAAGTTTTTCCTTTTTATGGATTCTACATCTAGTGACACACAAAAAACTCTTGTTGATCAGAAAGCTACCATCATTGGAAGACTGATCTCCAATCCCTACCTCCTACTGTTTCTGTACTTCATTTTCTCATCCTTCATTCTTTGACTGAGAAATCATTGGGACAAATGTCTCCCTTTTGCATTGAGAAGGGTTTAGAGGGACTTGCTGGCTCTCCTAAGTCAGTAAAGAAGCTCCATTCTGGAGGCATCTTGATGGAAACATCTACACCTAAACATAATGAACTCCTTCTGAAATCGAAGACAATTGGGGATATACCTATTGAGGTTACTTCCCGTGCTTCTTTAAATTCGTACTAAGGAGTCATCGTTGAAAGGGATTTATGAAACATCCCTGAGTCGGAGATCCTTGCTGGTTTCTCCAGCCAAGGAGTTTCTGAGGTGAGATGTATCTCCACTTGTAAAGAAGGAATTATGCTACCTACAGATGTTCTGATTTTGACGTTTACATCACCACATCCACCTGCTCTGTCAAGGCAGGTTATCTTAACTGTAAGGTATGGCCATATATTCCTAACCCTCTCAAATGTTTCCAGTGTCAGAAGTTCAGACATTCAAAGGCATCTTGTTGTGGTTCTTTAAAGTGTGTTCATTGTGGCAGCAAAGACCATGACACCTACATGTGTCAATTGGACCCTCACTGCATCAATTGTGATGGTTTCCATCCATCTTATTTTCATTCTTATCCTAAGTGGGTGAAGGAAAAAGAGATACAATGCTTAAAAACTGTTAATAACATTTCTTATCCAGAGGCTCAGAAGTTGTTGTCCCTTGTTCTATCTCTGACATGTGCTGCTGCACTACGTTCCACTGTTACAGTGGGAGTGCAGACAGATCTTTCTTGACCTCCAACAAAGTCTTTCTCTTAAAATGTAAAGGGTATTTTGTTCTCTGTGGATGCAAGACTTGACAAGTCCACATCTACTCCTGTCTCTGTCCCCACTGTTGCATCCAGTGACTGCTTGGGTCCATCTCCTTCGGCCCTAAGCTATAGGACCATTATTTGGTCATGCCCTCAGTCTCTAGAGTCTCCATCCTCTGACAGAGATCTACTCAATTCACCAAGGGCAGGTTCCATGGAGGTCGATAGACCTCTTTCTACTAAAGGGAAACATCGTGGTCGCAAACAGAAGGGTTCTCCATCTAGTTTTCCTCCACCTAAATAACAATGGCTACTCTGATGAACTGAAACTGTTGGGATTTATGTTCTAATTTAGATGATATTAAGGCTTTGAGCGATTCCTATCATCCTGTATGTCTCTCCTTACAGGAAACATTCCTGAGACCTGGTGATGCTGTCACCTTTCGACAGTTTTCTTTTTACCAGAATGAAAGGTTGTATGATGTCAAATCATACGATCAGTCAGACCTTGATGCTCTCATAGAACAGTTACCATCTCCCTTTTTCATCTTGGAAGACTTTAATGGACACAATCCCCTTTAGGGTGATGCTGATATTGATTAGAGGGGTCGTTCTTTGGAGCTTGTGCTCTCAGATCACAACCTGTCTCTCTTAAATACTTTTTCTATTACCTATTTTCATGCACCTAGTTAGTCTTTTTGCTGCTATTGATCTATCTATCTGTTCCCTTCACTTTTTTCTCGTTTTTCTTGGAGGGTTGATAGTGGCCCACAGGGCAGTGATCATTTTCCCATCGTTTTGAGGGAGGTGGGCCATGGTCGACGCTACCTGACTTGAGTTCCAAGGTGGAAGTTGAAGCAGACTGACCGGCTCTCTTTGAACTTGATCCTGCTGTCGATAGTGTTACGTCTCCGTTTGTTAATTGATTTTCCGTAAGTTCGTTCCGACGAAACTTAAGCGACACAAGTTCTTTCTTAATAAAAACTGGTTTATTATTTCCGAATACAATTTTATCGATACACTCAACTTCAACAATCGCGCTAAACAAACGCTATATCAACGAACGTCAATAATACTTCTGACCGCAGATCAATTACTCACTCACTACACGCACATTACATTCCCCTCTTTTATATACCAGCGTACCCTATTTCTAGTAAGAACTTGAACATTCGCCAAAGTACATGATAGTTCTAGAAACGTTGCGTCATGGTGGTCATGTGACTCGCTGACGCAACAATAGTTTTTCACCTATTAATGACTGCGTGGAAGCAATAACTGATTGTATAATTCAAGCAGCTGTTGTTCTATACCTAAAACCTCTACACGTTTCTCATGGTATCCTCGTCCATGGTAGTCTTCTTCTGCCAGCAGGCATGGAAGGCTCATAAATGGACCTGAAATGCCTTTTGCAGGTATCCCACTCTTTCCAACTGCATTGCTTTCCAGCGAGCCTGTACCCATGCTCAGCAGATCAGACCTAAAAGCCAGGCAGAATCTTGGATTAAGTTCACCATCAACATCTCTTCTACCACCAGTTCCAAAGTCTTCTGGAACAAGATTTGGAAGATCAATGGGAAGTATGCTTCCCATCCCCTTTCTAATGTCCAGGAAGTTGCTGATGTGCAGAACATCACCCATACTCTCAGAGAGAGTTTTGCTTATCTCTCCAGCACTTCTGTTTTTTCCCCTGCCTACT